TAGTTCTACACAAAAAACTGAAAGATATATATAATATTAATTACCAATTGGTGGACTAAAGAAATTAAAGAAGGAATCGTTTTGAACAGTTTTTGTCACGGTGCGCATGGATCCTCGAGATTTATGCTTCTGATTTTTTTTGATAGTTTTTATTGTAACATTCTTGCCTTTTTTCCAATCAATTACACAGCCCTACAAAAAATTTATCACATTTAACATCGTAATTATTTGAAAATTAATTAGACCAAATAAAAGCTTTACTTTGCATTTGTATATCTCTGGCCCTTCGAAACTGAATGGATCATTCTTGTCCGGAATACACTTCATGATATATTCTTTAGTGAGTACTGCGTTCAAAAAATATTCGTTGGGTGTAAAATAGAATTCGAGAACAAATCCCTAAAAAAAATATTAATTTAAATCAAACTTCTTGTGTAATTGTTAATTATATCACTCTGTTCCACAACTTACCATTGGATTTGATGGCAGAAATTTTACTTTAATATCATGTAGATGCTTCAAGATTGGTTCGTCGTGTTCCTGAACCATTTCGGATAGCGTACTTACATTTTTAAATATTGTTAACCAGAAATCTGGGATGCCTTTAGTATCATCCTCATTCTCCGTTCTAAAATATATTATACAAATTTTAATATGCAGTAATTGATTCCATGTTTAATAAATCGCGTCTAATTTGCTTCTTAGATATATAAGCAGATAATTAAATATTTAAAACAACAGTAACATACGCTTCCTTTGTTTCTACAGAATCCTGGATTTTTGCCTTCTCTTTCATATAATTATTTAGCGTTTCTTCATCATCGTCGCTATCCCAAACGCATTGTTCATCGGTTGGTTCGTAAGCACCCGATATTATCTCACTCCGCTTTTCATACAAAGGCGCACACATTTTATAGTATTCACATTCCAAGGCATGGACCTCCTCGTAAAATTTAGCTTCAATGTTAGTGGTGACGAGTTGCAGTTGTTTCAATGCTTTAATCCTACGTTTGACGGAAGCAGGAAGAGACTGCATTTGCTAAAAATACAACTGAATTTGTAAAACTTTGCTACAAAGATATTTTGATAACTTTATATTTCATTATAAGCTTTACTAAATATTTTCGTTTCTCTTTAACTCAATAAAATAATGGCAAATTTATTAATAAGATACAGAGCGTCAATGGCGGTAAAAAAACATTTATATGAAATTTTAATTAAATCGGGAAAAATTATGATTGACAATCCACAATTTAACAAGATGCATAATAAATATGTAGGATGTATTTATTCAATTAAAAATTGTCAGTTAAATGGGATGTAAAAACAAACAAGCATCGGGGAAAGCATGCCAATCAGAAAAAGATTTTTGCAATACCGTTATAAAATGATACGCGCACATGTAATAAGTTCAATTTATGTAATTTCAAAGATGTATGTATATTTGTATATAGTTGACCGAATGAAAATTGAACATAATATTGCAATACCTCTAATCCTGGTGCAGTAATACCATCTCGAAGAGCAGCTATCACATCAGGTCTACGTAAAATTTTGCGATGATTATCGTCTTCATCTTCGACGGATTCTGAACCGCTAGCATTGGCGGCGCGTTCCGGATCGGTTGTCATATTACTACAATTCAAATGTGTCGCTATATCAATTCACTTTCTTTAGCCAATTATTTATTATTATAATCTAAGAATTTCTTAAATCTGTAAACTTGATTTTAAAGCCGTAAACTTGATAACGCCAACGTTCTTCAATCTGCTTGAATTTTACGTAGACTTAGAATTACATGTATCTGTACACTACTATACAATACATGGTAACTCCACTTGACTCGATCACTGAAGCAGTGCTAACATTTATGCGAATATATATTGCTAGATATGTATAAATAAAAAGCAAGCGATTAATTTTGCGATCCCTAATAATTTGTTTTTGCAACGTAACTCAAAAATAAGTAGGTAAAGAAGCATGTAAGTAGCTCGATTACTATATACAGTGAGTAGCAGGAGAAATCTATTTCTAGGTAACATAAATTCCTCATAATCAAATGGAGACAACTCAATAAAAATAAAATCTTGATTTAGATTCCTAATAAATATAAATTATCTCATATCGCTTAAGGAACAAAACACTTGGTGAAAGAAAATATTTCTACAATTTGGTTACTATTCTAGGCAATAAGCTTAGGAAATCGGTTAAATTTCTCAGACACAAGAATGTAAATGACGTGATACTTGTGGAATTATATGTTATACTGGGGAGATTTTTGTACAAAGGAAACACATATAATGAGTTTTCTACAATAAATCATTAGTCATCTCATATCATCCTAGTGATAAGTCATCAAATTAAAATTATAAGTCATAAATCTTAGAAAACTATATCTAAAATATATCAAGCATTTTCGGTCCGACCAGATTTGCAGCATCCTAAGTTGAAAAATACTTTGCTATTGATGGACCTTATACACTTTACCAATAGGTGAGTACATCATTAACTCAAGGTTGGTGCGAACCCGATTGGACCTAAAATGCCATGAGATAAGCATACATTTCATATTTGGCAAAAGCGAGAAAGAAAATTTAATACACTCTAGTGCAGGAATAAAAAAAACAGGCCTTAAGTATTAAATCATAAGAAATGGAATTTGGCTACCTCAGGTATGTTTTTATTCCCGCACTAGGACTTTTTTGCTTTCGCCAGTTACCAAACATATGTCTATCTCATTTTAAGTTCCGAAAGTGTACACTCATTCAGCTACTTCTCCACACAGTGAGACGACCAAATTGACTAATTACTAACTTATTATTGTCACATAATGCAGTATTGACTTACTCACAACTCATTCTTGACTTTTAATCTATTACTAATGGCTTATTGTAGAAAGCCCATGAGAAATTACTGAATTTTGATGCAATAATACATAAAATAACGTGCCAAATTCACGGTATACAACGCACGTGAAGGGACGAAAGGAACGTTCAGAGAGCCATAGCCTCAAGTCGATTTTGTGCTAAATATTAATGGCACACAATGCATATTTTCTTAATTCCAATATACGTAGTAAATTATTTGAATTTTATAATTCTAATAATTAACTAGAATTGCACAAAACATATAACTTTTAGTAATTCATTATGCAAACAAGAAAACGTGCTTCGTGTGCAATTGGTTTTATACGCTCGAATTTTTATGAACCTCTCGATGAAGCGAATCGGTCTGCATGCGAACCTGAGAGTCGGATGGAAGATTACTCCAGATTTTCGCTTATAAAATGAGGGCTGATGAGAGCACGAGACGACAGATTGAATGCGCGTGGCGAGAGCGTCGGCGAGGAGCGAGACGACACGTTGAATGACATTGAGAGGACGAGACTAAAGGGGCAACTAAGCGCGCCAAAGATTCGCGCCTCGTGACGCTCTGTTCCACGGGAGAATTCGGCCAGGATGGCTCGGTGGAAACGTGCACGTGGCACGAGGACAACGGGGTCGCAAAACGCCGACGAAAGACGTGGAGAGGAGGACGAAACGTGGGGGACAAAGTGCGCGCGCGAGGAACAACGTCACGGCGAGGTACGTACGTCGCGACGTGGTGGTGCGAATAATTTGCCTTCGCGGCCAGATTCCGTATTCCCTATTATCGGGTCCTACCTTCAAATCACAGAGCCGAGATCCGCGCGTGAAAGGCGAAAACCAAACCTGACGAAATCAGGAAACGAACGACGAACTGCTAACGGACGACAACGAACCGGTTGACGGTCGCTGCCTCTTTAATGACGGTTGGGTCCCGGGTAAATGCGTGTTACAAAGAGGGATGAACGGCGGTTGAGAATCGCGATCAATCGCGATCTTTCGATTCGCAATTCAAGTATCTCAAACTCGAACGCGGGATTCTCAATTCAAATACCTCAAACTCGAATGCGAGAGTCGATATATGTGTTCCATGGTCCCGCAACTGCGTTGCCGTTCATTGCATTCGAAATTGAAATAAGTATGAATTAATAATTAACCTGAATAAAAAATATTTGGAAATACAGAGGGTCCGAAAAATCGAGATCAACACTTTGAGAAGTGACTCGGGAGCCAAAAAGGAGGAAAAAAAGTTATATAAACATAGATTTGGAAATAAGTCGTTTTCAATAAGTTATAAATCACTTTTATGTCAAAAAATTGAAATTTATTTTTCATAATTACAATCATAATTTATTTCAGTGTTTCAACATAAATACCGGAAAATAAAAAATATAAGGTAAAAAAATTTTTAAATAAAACATGTAGTTATTTATGTTGAAACACTATGAAATAAATTATGATTGTAATTATGAAAAATAAATTTCAATTTTCTGATATGTTTATTAGTTTTTTCCTTCGTTTTAGCTTTTGAAGTATTAACCTCAATTTTCCGGACACCCATATATATATATATATATAATATTTATTTTATGCAATTCTCTTTACATTTTCTCGTTAAAATTTTCAAGACAACTTAAAAGATTAAATCATCTAGCGTCGCCATTGGTCCGGAGAAACCGCTGCTCAATGGAAAGGCAACCCAAGGACTCCGAAATTCAAATTCGCCGTCCGGTGCGACGTCTACATCAATCTCGCGTTGGGTGCGTCGTGATCAGCCGTGATGTTGGCACGAAAATAACGCAGTCTCGGCGCAGCGTAGCATTCGTGTGCATTCGCGTCAATTCGTGTTCGCTGTGGTTATGTTTTGCAACGAGATCCGAGACTCAGGTGACCGTTATCATATTATTTTTTTCCCTTCCGGTGCCCAGGAAGAATCGTCACCGTCGGTGTCACGGTCGTTCCTATTCGTCGCAAGTTAAAATCCATTCCCCCTTTCTCTCCGTTTCTTTCCTTCTCTCTTGCTCTTTCCCCGCTGAACTATTTTCACACGCGCGCGTCTTCGGGGGGCGAGTACCCGGGAACGGTGAAATATGTGCCTACGTGTATGTGCGACGCGATAACACTTGGCCGCAAAATATGTCAGCGGGCACCACAAATCCGAACGAGACTGTCACGCGCGTGGAACACGATGGCTACCTCGTCGATGAAGTCGATTACATCGACCCGTCAGACCTGCAGTTCGACGACGACGACGTTTGGTGGGTGTCGTTCGCCTGTCGATAGTCCCTTTAATCGGCCCGCACCTCCTTGGGACACGCTCATCGTGTTTATATTTAATTCCATCCCTACTTCATTTTTCTACTTGGGATTCGAATAAAAATAATAAGAATAATGAGCATAATAAATAACAGTACGTTTGAAATTGACTCTTCTGGAGAGCATGTGTTGTTTGTAGAAGACGTTTCATTTAATTGGTAGATTTTTGCATTTTTCTTTATATGATTTAATATATATATTGCTCTTGAGTCAATTTTAATTATACATTTTTTTAAAATTGTCTGTATAATTAGTCCAGTTGGTTTATTATAGCATGTAAGTTTTTGAAGTAACTTGAATCTGTAGAAGATAAAACTTTTATTAGGATTGTATATTTTAAGATTATGTTTTATATGGAATATTTATGTATTATTTACACTAAATTTACACAAATCTTTTTCATATAGATAGTACAGTAATGTAAATTAATTAACAAATTGGATAATATTATGTGGAAAAGAAAAAATTAGATTTTATATAATTGTTAATATAATCTGACTTCAATATTAGTAAATAAAAATATATAAATGAGAAGATTTATATATAGAAGCTTTATATAGTTCAGTATAACAACAAAGAAGCTTCAATGGTCCATTATTTACATATATTACACGAATGACACATAAAACATACAGTGAATTTAATCTTGCATTATACTAGATTAGAACGTACTAAAAGCTATTTATAGATAATATTAGTAAAGTTGAATGTACAAATAAATATATATATATATATATTAAGTAGGTATTTAACTTTTTAAATATTTATGTGTGTGTGTGTGTATATATATATATATACAAATACTTAAAAAATTAAATACTTAATATTGACACATTAAATTATTTAACAGAAAAGTTATTTATATATACCTTTGCATTTAGATACTTTATAAAGCAGTTTTTAATGTGTACTAATTCAGTGTAGTGCAGATGACTGAATTTTCTCTAATAATTTACATAATTTACACTATATATGTAGATATAGAATATCAGGAGATATAGTAGCCTCGATTATATTTTACACGTAAATTTAACACACAATTCTTTTTATGTTTATTAAATAAAAAAGCAAATAAGCCAAAAGTGTAATTAGTAGGTTACAAATTAGATTTATTTTTATCTAGAAAATATATGAATATGATTATATATTTTTTAAATAAGAATAGACTCAATTTGCATCCTACTAACTATTTGACTCTTGCCTTGTACACTTTTTGCTTAATTTTAAGAATTTTTAGATTAATATATTTTTATTTTCTAATATAATGACATATAAAATATTCTTTTTTATTGCTTTTCAATGAATTAACTTAACTAAATTAATTTCAATTTAATTATTAATTTAAAATTGTTCTTTCTTAGGTTGTATGTACCTCTACAATGCTCAACTGGATCTACAATTCAGGATATATATGCCTGGCTGAAGGCAGAACCGGAATTGGATGTTCGAAGTACAAAACATGATAATATCGCATTAATTTGTCCGCTAAATATTCTCAGCTTTATTTACAATCTCATAATCCAAGTATTGCGTGCTGTTGCTATTAAACTTAATATGTATTTAGATAACAAAAAATGCATCGACACGAGAACATTTACGAGACCTAAGAAACGATCAGCTCGAATGAGCTTTGAATCGATTTTCGAGGGACTACCGCCTTCTACAGCAGATGTAGAGAAGTTGCAAGATATAGATATTACACACATAGAAAATGTAAGTCATTCAATCATTTTATATTTCTATGTAGACCTTTAATATTAAAGTATGATTTTTATATTTAAAACAAATAGGCTTTTACGTATGGTCTAATAATAAAATTCCTGAATTGCAGTAATAAAAAAAGACATTTCAGAAATCGTTATATTTTATCTTCTATCAAAGTTATGTGTATGGATGTGATGGACTACTTTAAATCACATCCATACACACTTCACATATTTTTGATACAAAGTCCTAAACCTTTTTTACAAATCTGTACTTGAAGTGCTATTTAGAGTATTTGTCACATTCTTCTGAATATACTCGATGACTTGAAAATGTTTTTTTTTTTTGTAATATTTTTAAGCTTTTGAAATGGTATAAAATTTGAATAAATGGCAAAAAGCGATTTTTTACGCTTAGCGACATAGTTATATAATTTTTTTAGCCAAGAAAGAGGTTGATATTAATCATGTATCTTATTCATGAGAATTGGCTCTTTCAAATTTTATACTGTTCTTAGAGCTCAAAAACATGAAAGATACACATTTTCAAGATATCGAGAATAGTCAGAGGAATATGACGAGTACTCTAAACAACATTCGAACTACAGACTTTAAAAAATATTGGAAACTTTGTGTCAAAAATATTTAGAAAGTGTATTGATATCATAAGAAATTGCTTTAGAAAATAACATAACATTTTGTTATTTGAGATATTTATGTTTTTTTATCACTGCAGTCTGGGAATTTTATTGTCTATAAAGTTTATAAAATTATGAATATTTTTCTATTATATACAATACCTATTAATTATTAATTAAAATCTATAATGTTATATTAAATGCATAAAATTTTATTGTATTATTACCTAGGTGGAAAAATATTTACCTACAATAATTAGAGATAAAGAATCTGTGCCACCGATCTTAAAGCCGTCTATCAAAACGGCTATAAATATCTTATCCGACGAAATCTCAGTATCATCAGGACAGGAAAGTATGGAAGCTTTCCTAAACATGTCACAATCCAAAGGAATAGATTCGTTTATAAATTTAGGAGAACCCGAGTTCAGCGATATGTTGATGAACGTATCACAGCCTTCTATTTTGAGTACATCTGTTATCTCATCCACAAATGAGTCCATATTTATTAAAAACAACACACCATTAGTAACAAATAAAAATACGGCTCAAAACAGCGACATGGAAAAAAGCTCAAATTCTGATTATATTAATAATGAAACATACGTGATGAAAAACTCTGACAAAACAATTACACAAGACACAATTTATTGCACAAATACTCTAAGCAACAATAGCAAAAAGTTTCTTCAACTTGATAAAGCCTTGAACGAGACGTATAATGCCGAAGCTTTTAGTGGAACGTCAGCAAGATCGAGTCTCGATAAAGAAGAAGCCACTTCGTCTTCCACTTTTGTAGCTGAGCCTAATGCTAATACTACTTTTGTGCAATTACAAAATGAAGCAAGTAATGGCATTGAATTATTAGGTACTACATATCTATCCTCAGCGAAAGGCGCCGAGAGACCAAATTCACCTATATCGATTGTTAACGATACGTATATACCTACAATGCACATAAATAAAGCAGATTTAAATGTAACATGCAATATTCTGCCAGATGAAATCGAATCTGTAACTTCTCTTCTCACACGTGATACACTCGCGAAGGAAAGCGCTTTAGATATATCTTTCAAGGTATCTGCCTATAATCGATCTACGCCGATGAATCCAAATATGCCGAACGCAACATCGAAATTTGCTACGAAACATTTGGACCAACTGCAATCAGCTGTGCATCCCATGTCATTAAGGCGAGAATTGCTAGCAGAGATTCAACGAAGCGGCGAACGTAAGCTGGATTCCACGTACAATCATATCTCTAGCGATCATCTTGATATGAAAAATACTAAGGAAAATGTTCATACAGCCTATAACGAAAACGAGACTGACGGTTCTTCGACGAACAAATACTACACGTACAAAAAGTCAGCGTTTACCAGAACGATCAGTCAGTATTCAAACCAGAATGAAACTACTGTAACCGCTCAAAAGGAATTGCCAATGGACCAACGTAAATTTTATACTTTTACAAAAAAAAATAACCCCATCGAAAGAACTGATAATATCGCTAGTGAGAACGTCGAGACTCATCCAAGCATGGATAACACGTTTTGTAAACCCCATTTTCCGAAAATGCAACAAAAGAGAAACGTAACGAAGACGTTGTCAAAATTGCCACAATTTCTGCAGAAATCCAATCCCAATCTTGTATCGAGTTCGCTAAAAAATGTCAGCGGTATGCCTATTGTTCGTACAGGTATATCCAGTATAGGATACATTAAAGGCTCGCAACCCAATATTAAGCAAAATATCGCGAAAAAGTCGCAGCTACCGAGTAAATTGCATCCGTATGGAAAGATAAAGAGCGGCTCCGAACAACGGCTGCTCGAAGCCAATGTGAATACGAATAATCAGTTTCCAATGGAGAGTGTGATTGCTGGCTCAACAGAGAGCATAGAGAGCACTCACAGCGTTCACAGCGCTCCCGACCTGGATGACAGACTTAGTACATGCTCTGACAGCAGTAATCATAATTCGTACACCAAACAAACAATGAATATCGAGCAATTACATAAATTGGTGCGAATGCAAGAAGAGAGTAAGTGTTATTGTAAATTACTACTTAGAAAATATAAAATTAATTTTATGTGAACATTTTAAAAATATCATTGAGAAATTAATTTTAAATTTGTATCTTCAGGTTTAAAGCAAGATTCATCGGTCAAACCGTACAGGCAAGTTTTAGAGAACACGTGGGTTGAAGCGAAAAAGGATTTGCCTTCCCCAATTTCGAAAAACGGGGTGCAACATAGCGAGATTGACAACCATTCACTAAATAATGATTTAAGTATGAAAAGCAGCTCTCCGATAATGAGTCCTATTGGGTCTAGTCACGCATTAAACGATGGTATAAAAAATTATATAATATTTTAAAAATTAAATTAAAGTGAATAGTTCAGCTTGAAATAAATTAAATAAATAAAAAAAATATATTTATATATGTGTGTACATCTTTTAAGGAAATGCCGAAGGTAACATAGCAAAGACCAAGGATGAAATTGTAGTAATTGAAAAAACAGAGGTATGTGTATTAATTTGTGTAAATACTTACTGCAACATTATCAAAATATTTCATAGTTACAGTTAATTAAATTTATTCATTACTTCTTCAAGTTTGCTACTTATAATTAAAAGAATTAGAGTTAAATTATTACATATTGAATATATGTAACAATTATATAAATATACTATTTGCTACTTGTTTACAAGAATTAGAGAAATAAATTATATATATCGAATATATGTAGCAATTATATAAATCTATTGACTTATAGGATCCGAATCAAGTAGTGCCTAAAATTGAGAATAAAACTCGGTTGAGACAACCGACCAATTGGAGCACCGGAAGCAAGCCAGCTGCTGTGATAAGCGGAATTCCTAGACCCGCCTCGCGTATACCGGCTTTCAGATTTGTTCGGCCGAACGCGAAAACCACTCAAATCGATTTGAGAAAAAGATGCACATGAAATCCCGAATAATAAAAGCAAAGAAATACAATAGCTTACAAATATTTAGTTTAACCACTAATATGGTAATTAGAATAACGGGGATTTTCAGTTCTATTATATAGTAACGATAAAGTTTCTCGAAGCTGATAAAAATTCAGTATTATTGAGCTTCCAAGTTGGATAATAAAAAGGGATTATTATTAATATTTATATGTTATTTGTTTGTATTTAATTTGTAAAATTTGTAATAATATCGTCTCACGTTATTATTCCTATTTATATATATATATATGCATTTTTTTACAATTCGAAGTATAATTGTCTTGCTCTAATATAGGGATTGAAAATATTTATACTTATATAAACTTGTAAAATAGGAGTTTGTCTCTCTTGATTGATTGCTAAATAATATATAAGAAAACGCGATCTAGTTCGCGGATAAAATTTCGTTCAAATCGTAAATTTTATCGTTGCCAAAACCAAGATTTCAAGATATAGATTGTATTGGTGTTGTTTGTAATTTCTATATAATGTAGAAATTTAAAATTTCGTTCGATATGTGAAAAGTCGAAGAAAAAGGGACTCTTTTTTTTTACATAATAGTTAATACAAACAATGACAATAAATCTAAAATCTTTGTACATAAGAATAATATATATATAGCGTTATAGAAAAATTGTTCAAATATTTTCTAATAATAAATGATAGATCGGTTGATAAATTATAGAAAAGGATGCACATGAAAAGACTGCAAGTGTAAGTCACATTTTTGCGAGCAAAATTCAGTTTTCATCCTCTCATCTCCGTCCTGTTGTATCTCTGCTGTTTTTTCCATAAAATTGCTCGTTATGTTTTGTCAAACCACCTGAGACATATCATCATGCTTACATATGATACAAAAAAATTGTAAAAGATCAATACAATTATATATAGATATGTATAAACAAAATTGTTCGATCTGTACGTTCATATCAGATGTTCGGTACCTGTTCAAATATTAAAATATTGAAATATTAAACATCAGTTTAACGCGTTTATAGATAAAAAAAAATAAAAACCATGAAAATATTCTGTGATTTCACATATTGTTGTATCACATACAAATACATATACATTTTGTATAAAAATTTTTTTTATACATTGATAGTACTAAAATCGAAAATATGGAGTTGCACTTCAACTTCTTGTAGATTCCACATTCTGCACAATAAGGATGCAATTAGGTCATACGCTTTGCTTCGTTTATTAAGAAAACTCGCAAACTTTTAATTTAACGTGAATATTCTAAAGAATTGTCAATTACGATTACAGCATATCATACCGCAAAACATAAAAAAATGTTGTTTATTAATATAAATGATATTAAAAATAATAAAATTACAGGAATTTTGATATTCAAATATAATAAAATGAAACAAAGGCAATAAAAGTTAAACAAATTGTTTGACTCTTATTGCCTTTGTTCTATTTTATTATAAATAATATTTTTGTTTATTATAAAAGGTATGTAAGATTTTTTCGAATGAGTTATATTCCTTCTACAATTAAATTGCAGAAAAATGTTTAATTTTACACACACATTATCAATTTTTATTCTCTATAAAAGAATTACACAAATAAGGTTTGATGAAATGATGAGTTAGATATAATTGCAAAGATATTTAATTAAATTCTACGTTATTAATATTTATTTCCTATAGCTGAATAATGCAAATTAATTTTAATCACGAACAAGGATTAAAATAATGTATGCCTATTGTAAATAATAAAACGAATAAGTGTGATCGTCGTATCATAATCTTTATTTATATCGATATGTGCTAGACCTTAAGTGCCTTTATTGTATTAATCGAGATACAAACAGCAGTTTCTTTTATACATGAAAATACAAAAACTAAGAAAATGCGCTCATTAATCTATCAATTTTTACTGTCCAAATAATGAAAATATTTAATGTTATTACCTTCTTTTTATAAATCTTGTAATAATAAATAATATACAATATAAATGTTATTACGTATTTTCATTCGTTTCTATTCTATTAGAACCAAACGCGATGCATTCCTTTTTATAAAACTATAATTTAAATCCTTTGTATATATTTCGTATTTAAAAACATTTTTTAACATTTAATAAACAATATTTAATCCTCAATTACAGTAATTTGGACGATTGTATAATTTTTATACAATTGATACTGAGATTCTAAGTTGTAGGTAAAAAAAATGTTTAAACTATCAATCATCGTAGGATGGAAATTTACTTACAATGTGTTTAAACAGCTTTAAATTTTCATGTAATTTTCATAGCTGTAATTGGGATTAGATATATAAGAATCATTACTTCCTTTTTGATTTCATATACGAATTTATCAAACTAATGCATCGTTTTACACATACTTTAGTATGGTTTTATCATGTTTTTTTTTATGAAAGAAGAATGAATAACTTATCACGCTACATACAATGTACCAAAATTATCATCGGTACGATAAAAGACTAGACATATACTCCTCGATTACACCGATAACTAAACATATATGTATAATCAAATGTTCAAAATGCTTTTTGCTGTTCAACAAATACTTATTTCCGATTAATTACGTAATAGAAATGTATTATAAATAAGAACATTTCTGTAATAGCGACGCAAACATATAAAATACGGACAATACACATCTAATAGTGATAATAAATGTACATTTCGTTGCACACAAATTATAAGATAAAAACTGCATATACTTGAAATATTATTGTGAGAAAATGGAATGTGAAAATATTTTATAATGTAAATAACAAACGAATAATGACGGATATAAACACGATAATTATAGCGACATAATACTAAAAGGTACCTATTTCTTTAATGTTATTGCAATAAATATGTTCTATTATATTAATCGCCAAATGTTATATAAATGCTACCTTAATAATTAATACCCAGATGATTAGGCAGTAATTATGTATAAGGTACTACTTAATCATCTGATGTTTGACAAATATTTAAATAATCGATTTGTTTACAAAAAATTGAGAAAATTTCAGCAAAATGCTTTGGTCGTTTTTTTACACATCTCTATCTAACTTAAATAATACACACAAAATATAAATATGTGAACACATATATATTTAATTAAATTCACATCTTTAATTTTTTTAAAGATATGTTTGTAATTTAGTAATGCATGATTATCACTGATGCATAATGTAAAGTGATGTGAAATAATTAAAATATTAAAATAATTATAAATTAACATTCAATAATTTTCGATATTGATGCAAAATATTCTAGTTTCTCATATTCTGAATAAATTTGTTATCGGAAAAAATTTGATAGAAGATGTGCTCGATATATTTCTGATTAATAGTGTGTGCGTTATGTGCTGTATATATCCAATTTTTTAATAACAGTAAAAATTGCACATCTCTATATGATAAAATAAATGGTTGTATGATTTACATAGTTACTTATATTCTACTACGATATTCTACTATGACGGGATCTGTTAACACAGATTATTATTAAACATCATAAATTAAGAAATATGTATATAATCTTTCGTGAAATATACGTGAAATACGTGTAAATCGAGCTGCGAGTCTTCATGATATTCGTTTTTGATAATTAATATGCACATAAATTATTAACAAAATATTTAAACGTACATTTTAAATATCTTTGTTTAGTGATCTCTTTAATCATTCATTTCCTTCAAATGAAAATAACAGAAAGGACAAATGTAAATATTTTTTTTATAACAGTGTAATTATACCAAGGCACTGTAAAATCAGATCGTACTTATAGCTTATTGTTTATAAACGCCCTGCGTATATATAGATATGAATTATTCATAAAAATATATCAAATATTTAACATGTGCAAATGTATACTGCATTAGTTTTTCTGAATTACTGGCCAAGGAATTCATATCATTTCATTTTTATAAACAGCAATAATTATTCTACATCGTTAATCAACTGCAAATAATGAAAATAGTCAATTACAACGTGCCGTATTTCAAGTACAACGCTATTGAAATTTTTTTATCGCAGACTCAACATCTTTATATCGGTATATCATGAATAATATTGAAGTCGTTTCGCATTATACACATTTAGTATAGAAATAGACTCGTTACGAAGTATGAAAAATGAACACACATTTAGAGCGATTCGATTTTTACGTTTTATCTTATAAAACGCATAATTCGATACGCCGTATTCAACACTATGTGACATCAGATATTTGATAATATACTTGATTGTCCTTTATAAAGTTAACGATTTAGATACAGTAACTCATGGGCAAGTATATACTTAACTGACAGTTCGATCGATGACATTCGATCGCATTGTTATTCGCACGCCAATTTACTGTCGAAACTACTCAGAGCGATGGCGAAGGCCTGGACTGTACAAAGAGGAAATCGGTAATCCATCGTAAAAACATCCTCTGCGACACGTCCAAACTGCATTACGACATAGTCCACTAAAATTAATTAAAATAAACTCTTTAAAATAAATCACAGTAAAATTCTTTAGACATTACACCATATACACTGGATGTAAAAAAATATTCAGTTTCTTTTTCTTACCATCGCTATCATGGACTACTTGGAAATTCTTTACAGATGCCTGAGTTACTCGCCCATGAAAGTTAAGCACATAAGACTGCGTGTCATCGTTCCATACGGGGGTTTTGTTATGTAACTCTATCAGATTATCCATTTGTTTTAATTTCCATCGTTCTAAAAGCACAAGATAGAATTTGTTATAAATATATTATTTAGCGTTCTCTAATATAAATATTAATTTAGTTTGATCAGTTATTGTTACAATTTCAACGGCGTTATTATATAATTGTGTAATTTTTATTAGTAATATATTTTAAGAGTAATTATACAATTATATAATTTAAACTCTAATATATGAAATATATGTTACTTTATTTCACAAAACACTTTTGGCATGTAATTGTAGAATATACATATTTTGGTATTTTATCAATTTATATATTATATTAATATTAAAATTATAATTACCAAGCAAAGTTTCTGATTCGACTCGTGGGCATATCTCCACTCGTTTTTGATCGGGCGTCATACCCGGTATAATAACTGTCATTTTACGAGGGCCTTTAAAACCTAAAACATTTGTATCATACACAACCGCAGCTAATTCCTGCCGTGGATTAAAACGCTCGTCACGTTTGTCATCTTTCATTAACGAGTATCCGTTGTCATAAATTGTGAATTGTGTCCCCAGAAGATTCGATCGTAGTTTGCCGACGTAAGACTCTCCTCCTCGCGAAAGATCTGTGGGATCGGTCGAAATCAAGTAATTGCTCGTTGCGCTTTTTTTCCTTTTTCGGCCAGCCAGTAGAAAAATCTGTAAATACAATCGACATACTTATAGAAAAAACGAACTATAAAAATAAATAAATGTAAATGTACCTTTTTTCCATAATCACGCTCTAAATGTAAGAAATAAGTTGGATAAAGACCACGGTCCATGCCCTTTCGATCGCGTGTTATTCGACACTTGTAATGCATTTTTTTATTTGCGGGTTGTAATACAAACTGTTCGATATTGCCTTCTACATTCCCTTCCAATTCTGGACTCTGCAAAACAATATTATAAAGCAGTTATTATTTTTTAATATTCGTAAATTACAAATAAAGAATTTATAGAATAAAGTTGAATTTTATTCACTTCAACAAAAATAAAACATTTATATAAGAAACACATAATTAGAATATGTGATACGTACGGAAGAATTGTTATCTCTATTAATAAGAGTATTGGCTCCTTCCGACGGAGCCACTCGAAGTGGTGAGGAGCATGGCAGAGATTCTGAAGGCGAATGTAAATCTATGGGTGACGATTCCTCATCGGCACAATCAGTGCTTTGAGAACCTTCATACAAACTTCTATCGTTAACCACTGCTACAAAAATATCAATACTTAAATATTAGCACAATTAATTTTAAACAAATAAAATTATGTGCATAATTGAAACAAAAAAATATCTCGAGTTATTTTTGTACTAATAATACAGTGTTCATAAAACGCTGGAAAACATCATTATTTTTCTAATAATACATATATGTATAGATACATATTTTACTTTTGTAAATAACGAATTTACCATTAATTGTCCCTTCACTATTTTTTCTTACACCTTCTGTATAAGGTCCCATGTCAGCATTTGTTTGAAACATAGCGTATTGCAATGGGCCGTCATATGCTGAAAATAAAATACTTTTATTAAGCACTCTTGTGATTTTATGAATAAATATTATATAAATCACGATCACGTATATAATATAACAAATATTATGTAACTATAGTGTTACAATCGTTACGAGTTACTCCTATATTACAAATCTTATATATCTAACCATGATATATTATAAATTTATGATAATCATGTTTGATTACAGTTGTTTTAGTTATTGGCAATTATAGAATTACTCTATTTGAACACTATAACTACCATGAAGTTCCTTGTTTGGATTCATCCATTTATTCGAATGACTTGTAAGCTGAGCACTAGATACATTGGATGCTTGTACCATTCCACTAGCGCCAGTTTGTCTCTTTTGCTTCATCTTCTGCGCGATTAGTTGCCTCTACATCGATTAATAGACAACATATATTATGATAGTCTCATTTATTAATTCACAACTATAGATAAAGAATTACTTAAGAATTATTTGATTTAAAAAATATTTGTTCAAATAATAAAATAAAGTATTGTAATTCATGATTTACAATAAAATAATATTAAATGCAATAAACTAAATTTCAATTAAACTTTAAGTTTATAAAATATTTCTCATTTATTTTGAATAAGCATCATCTTTTCTAGAGTTTAATTATTATTTTTCATACAAAAAAGAATTAATACTATGATCAGTATTCATGGTCTGTACTTTCAAGTCTATCTTACTAAATTCTTTGGAATAGAATCTTATTTTAAAGAGTGAAAACAATCTTAAATATATATAAGTACTGATTATGGTATACTGACTTGAATATGCTTTAACAAGAATAATTCAAATTTAGACATAACATAAAACAAAACTGACATTTAACAAAGAAATTTACAAATGAGTGGGTCTGAGAGAGAGAGAGAGAGAGAGAAAGAAAATTCTGAAAAATTAAATCTTAAATAAAATAAATACTATACTTGCATAATCTCTATTGATTATTTTATGAATACCAGCCTAAATATACTTTAATAAAAACAATCCAAATATGTAAATATAACATAAAAAAAATATTAAATTGACATTTTTGACATAAAATTTAAAAATAAATGGACCCAATAATAATAATAGACCCATCTTCTGAAGGAATAAATATTACATAATATTTCAGTGCTAATATAATCTCTATTAATACCATAACCTTGCTCCCGAAACCAAGGAAGAATTCAAATACTTAAAGCTATTATTAGCGAATAAATGTCATGTTACAAGCTCAAGTGTTCATTAATTATTCATTCAAACAGTGAAATATAGTATGGATTTCAGTGTTTCTGAGTGTTTACATGTTTAATATAATACATCATTAGAAAATCATTTCATTCGGACAGATTTCTCATAAATTAATATTTTTTGAGGATATTACAAGTGACAATTCCTTAAGTAAAATAAGTCGTCTCAGCGTACGAGAACTACAAGGTTACGTGCTCCGAAGTTGACGTATGAACAATTAAAAGTCTTGACTAATTTACTACATTCAAGATCGCACCTGCTGTTCCAGTTTCTGTTGCCGCAAATCGAGTGATGTCATTTTGCACGAAATCGGTTTATCAAGCGATGATCGACAAAGATGCGCAGCCACTAACCGCTGACAAACAGTTTTGTTTACGCCAAACACACTCGTTCACTTACGGTACCTAGGCAACCGTTCGCCCCGAGCCCCGAGCTTTAGCTTTATAATTTTCATGGCTACTTTTATGGCGGATTCGCAGTCGCAATAGTTGAAGAATGGCGCCCGATTGAAAAGAGTCCCCAATACGCACATCCCTCACGAGGAAATATAACCAATTGACTCCTTCGATTTTAATTTTGGATATCCACAATATGGACATAAATAAGAGAAGGTATGTACAAATTTTCCTTTAAAAAATTAAAAATTTTGAATATCCTCGAAACTGTGCGAGATAGAAAAAATGTTTTAAATAAAAATAGAATGATTTCAAGAGTATTTCAAAAGTACTTATAATAATCATTATAAATAAATTTGTTTGAATAAAAAATTGTTTTATAAAAATAATGGACCTAGCCGTCTATTTTAGCTGCTCCTTTATGAGTAACCAATCACAACTGAGAGCTGTCCAAAATGGCAACCTCCAGTCTAGCAGTCTAGTAGCTCCAGCTAGCTCTTGAGAATTTTTATATCTGAACATCTCTAGGTTTTCAAGAATTTGTTAACCGGTTCAGCGTCTCTCCCTCGTGGTAAGTTTAGGTCTGTTTTTAAAAAAGTAAATATTTAACTCCAAACTTTGTTGATTAATATAAAGCTTTAGCTTGAAGGTTTTCTGAAATATGGATGACGAGGATGAAACATATAAATTGTGGCGCATCAGAAAAACCGTGATGCAGCTGTGCCACGACAGAGGTTATCTTGTTACGCAGGACGAGTTGGATCAGACGTTAGAACTGTTCAAGGAACAGTTTGGAGATAAACCTAGCGAGAAAAGACCGGCCAGAAGTGATCTTATTGTTCTTGTGGCGCATAACGACGATCCTACAGATCAGCTGTTCGTCTTCTTCCCCGATGAACCAAAAATTGGCATCAAAACCATTAAAACATATTGCCAGCGCATGCAAGAAGAGAAGATCCACAGGTTGTTTTTTTATATTACAATATTTTATGTATAACATATATTATATAATTAATATGTTTTATATAATTAAAATATTGATTTCAATTATATAAAAAAATATTTCAACATGAAGTTGATAAAAAATTATCTTATACTTTACTCTATTATCTTTTCGTTTGACTTTGTTTAAAGCTATATGTTCACAATGCTAGAAATCGCTTTGAGATTTCAAATAGAGAAAAAATAAACAAATTATATTTTGAAAAATTCGATCACATAATCAATACGATTGGTCAAAATTCTTTTTTCCTTTGATCTTGGATTGATTTTTAGTATCATAAACACGAAGTTTAAAACTGATTGCATACATGAGAATCGTGTTTGAGACTTGCCAATTACTAGTTAACTGTTTTTGAATAGAGAATAAGCCATAACAATGACTTATATTTTATTTTTATAAAATTTATATTTTAGCACATCTTCAAAAGCAATATTATGGTTCAATATAAATTATTATTATATAAATTTTAGATTTTATTTCAACATTATTAGATGCCAAATAATTTATTTATATTATTTCATTTGTTCTTAATATTTTGAGAGATAAGGTACTATTATTGATTATTACAGAGCAATAATTGTAGTCCAGCAAGGCATGACACCATCGGCTAAACAATCGTTGGTAGATATGGCACCAAAGTATATACTGGAACAATTTCTGGAATCTGAATTACTAATAAACATTACTGAACATGAATTGGTGCCTGAGCACATTGTTTTAACTCCGGATGAGAAAGAGGAACTATTGACAAGATATAAACTTAAAGAAAATCAATTGATGCGAATACAAGCTGGTGATCCAGTGGCACGATATTTTGGTTTGAAGCGTGGACAAGTTGTTAAAATAATCAGACCGTCTGAAACCGCAGGAAGATACATATCCTATAGGTTGGTTTGTTGAAGAGAGAAAGATAAAGAGTAAATAAGAATTAAGACTAAATAGCGAAACTCTTTCATAGACTAAGAAAAGAGTGTACATTATTTATTAAATTTAAAAAGATAATACTTATTAAAATGTAAAAGAGAAGATGCAGTTCAAAATTTGTCATTTATTGCAGCAGCATTTTATAATGGTGCATTATACAGTTTTCACACACAAATACAGATCTCTAAAATGTGTTCTTACCTTTCCATTATTTTAATGCACTATTGGCAATTCTATGCGTAAAATGTATATTTCGTTTGCATAGTTCATTAGCTCACACTTATAATCAATATTAGGATATAGCTTAAGTTTATAAGAAACAACAATCGGTACAAAAAAGACTGCGACTTGCAACGGTCGCTCATAATCTGGTTAGGGCAGACATTATTTCGAGTTATTATTATTATTATACATCGCTTGGTCCAAAAGTATCATTCTATATACGGTATATTCTGACATAAAAGTATATCAGTAGCAGGATTTCCTTTCTTTCAGTGTATCTATAATGTTTTTTATATAATTATTTTAATTAATAAGTGATAGTCGAGTGATTCATCCATTAATAATACACATTTTTTCGAGTCTAATTGCATTTATTAGTAGAATACTTTTTTTATGACTTTTCTTATTACGATATACTGTTTTCTCCTCTTCTTTTTTTCTTGCTTATTAATAAGATTCAATTTGTGCGTGAATTGAATCAGAAGCGTAATTAGCAGTCTATTAACGTAATTAAATAATTGTACACTTCTTAATCGAAGAAATATGATATTGCAATCTGAAACATGCTTAAACTCTGATAACTTAAAGAATAACTTTTGAAAAAGCCTTCCCGAATTCAAATTCTACTACATAATTTCTATTAAATCTTATTCAAATCTAATATTTAATCTTAGCGTTTTGATCCTACTTATAGACGGGAGTCGAACATCGTTTATTAAAGCCGGCGGAATGACATCGATTGTGAGATGTGAATTTCCGCTTTCAGAATTTATCGCGGTCGACTGATAAAGCTAAAAGCGTACGAGCAGGAAGTTTCCCAGATGGCATATTCACTAGGGTATAATGAACAGGCAGACCAACCAATCATTCGTTCTATACTTGTTACAATAAATGAAATTACATGCTATATAAGCGGCAGCGGTCGACTAGCATAAAGACAGCTTGCTACTAGTATAGCACGTTACTTCCAAAGGAATAATCGTTATCGTTGGGCACAAGTAAACAAAGCATACGCGGCCATAATTAATATAATATATTGTTATCAATAAAATGTAACATAACATTAATAGTCATAATATAATAAAAACCATAAAAGATAATAATAATAATTACAGAATAATGCTACGAAGTTCTGTGCTTTACGCAATAAGTAAAGAAGAAGTATAGAATCCTCAAAAAGGTTTACAAAAAAGGAAAACAAAAATATACATATTCGGTTATCCTCGAACACGATTCCCATTGCAGACGGAAACCGCGCGAGAGATCCTTAGATCCTTGGCGATATCCATTGATACTTAGATAACTCTTAGACAAAGGATCATTGTAAATTGTTAGAATTCTATAAATGCTTGAATCCTTAGATCCTTAGGCATCTTTTAGGCATCTTTATATCCCTAAACATTCGCGGAAAAAGCATGAATTCTTGAATCCCCGGATAACATCAGAGATCTTCGGATCCTCGGATATCGTCGAACATCTTTAAATACTCAAGTCGTCCTTAATTTCTAGATGTTGTTATATCCTTGCGCTTGGATGTTTCGATGTGATATCGATGGTGATTTTCTCTTTCTCTTTCTTTTTCATCGATTAAATAAACGCGACGTTTATTTTTCGGTATTCAAGGATTTTGGTGTTGGGATATATTCGATTCATTTTTAGTCGTATTTAGAAGACTTTTCGGCGTGACCACCAGTATACCTTAGTGGCCCATTCGATAGGTGAGGTTTGTAAAATATTATTTATCAAATCCGCGGCAACTCGGATCCTGTAAGTGATAGAGGTGGGATAAGGCGGCCACTGTTCCCAATAACGGCCTCTGTGCGTTCGGCTATATGAGGCCTGAAAAATTATACACACAAGAGTTATATATTAATTATTCTAAATAAAAGATGCATATAATCAAAGATATTCATAATGGAAAATAAGCAAATATAAAAAAATTAAAAATGTATTTTTTATTGTATAATAATGATGTTACGTATGTTAAGCTCATTCTACAATCGCGTAAACGTAGTTGTAAGTGGCTGTTGTAGTTGTAAGAATTGACTAATCACAGTCGAACATTTTTTCGTATTTGATTATGATTGGTTAATTTGTGCAACTATTATCATTTACTTATTACTGTAGAATAGGCTTTACGGGCAGAGTCTGCAAGTGGAAAGTATCGGTATTGCCCGGGCCACGTCAATTTATATGTATACGCAATTGAGTTGGGAAATGTTGACACGATTCGAACAATGCTGACATACAGCAGACAACTCAGACAATGTCAAAACACTGCCCAATATGCGAACTTTGCTCGTAACATATGTTTTTAATATTTTTAATCTTTGTTTTTCATATTTATGATGACGTATATATACATTTTTTACATAATTGTAACAAATTTATTATTAGTCAATAAGATGAAATTCGTATTAAAATTTATAAATAAGTAAAAATAGATATATTTAAGTAAAAAAAATTGCAAGAACAAATTTCTTACCTAGGAGTGGTATGGCGTAACATAGGTGGACGGAAACAGTCCCCGTCTATTTCCGATTTCTCCGTGCCACCAATGCTGATCTGTGCGATCTGTGACAGTAATTACATCTCCTCGTCGGAACTCCAACTCGCCGGGCTCTTGCGGTGCAAAATCGTAGAGTGCTTGCACCAAACACTGAAAATCATGACAAATTAGTTTTAGATTAAATTATGTCATCAAAATACATGTATAAATAGATATAAATAAGAAAGAATATATACTTTTATAAAAAAAAACATTCAAAATTTTCTACATAAATCATAGTGCTACTATAAAGAACAATTATAATATCAATTTTTACCTCCTCGGGGACCATGTCACGCAGCTTAACATCCTGCGAGCGAGAAACAGAGGCTGTACGGTGGTATTCCACCAGTTCATTGAGGCTGTTAAATTTCACAACCCATAAAAAGAACTTGCCTTGTGCGTCTCTTAATACTTTGAAATGCTGCACACCGTCGGAGCATCTGTATGTATAAATTATAGTAATTTAATTTCATATTTTATTAATAATTAATAACAGTATTAAACGATTATTTTTAGTTTGTGAAGCCTTTTAATGAGGAACAGAATTTTCTATACAATCGAAATTTCTATTAAAACCAATGCTGAATATTTCTCATCTTATAAAAAATATTTCAGTAGCTATACATATAATATTATTGAATACATTTTATTTATTTCATATAATACTCACTTTACGGATAAGGAAAAATCACCAGGAGAGCTTTCACTGATTCTGATCAGAAAGGCACCTTCATGTTTGTTCATCAATAATCTTTCAGCGTCTGCTCTGGTTATCCTGCCATAGTACCAGCTGTAGCAGATAAGACACAAAAAATAATTTGTGTACAAGACTATACATGAATACATTTCTACGAAAACAAGAAAACAGTTTTACACAAGATATGCGCTTTGTCGGACAATAATTGTTAAGTTTTTTGTCTCTACATAAACATATTATACGATACTATTTTAATAACGTACTCATGGCTCTTCATTTCAATGTAATTACTCGGTATAAGTCCTTCTCTAGAATCTAATTCAGCTCTATACCAATTCATATCGTCCTCCATATTTAGAATCTGTAAAAAATTTGTTATAGGAATTAGAAATAATTTTTAATTTAGATTTATATAAAATTACATATATTAACATTTTAATATTTACTGCACACACACACACACACACATTTTAATATTTTTATATTAATAATATAGGATTTTAAACAAAGAAACAGCATAGTTCTGTCTAAATGGAAAGAAGAAAAAGTTAATTATCTCTTTCTCATATAAATAAATAATAAGAATTCTATAAAATTAGCAGTCCAATAAGAATTGATATCGTCTATAAAATTATATATTACATTTTATAATTAAAAAAATTTAATATTCTATTAATAATTGCCTTTAAATTATTCTAAAAAATAAAAATTACAATTTGATAAATAATTTCAACTTTCAGTGATCTGGATACAGTGAGTGAAAAAGTATTCATATAAGGAAATTTTTTAATAAAAAGAATCTTATTTGAAAATAAACGATAATTAGCAATTTTATATAATAAATGCATTCTGCTCTAACATAAACAAACGAGTTTCGAATATATTTCTAATTTTGAAAACTAAATTTCTCAAGTATACAAACACTTTTTAAGCATCCAAATAGTGCAATTTTTAATTTTTGCTTATTTATAAGATAATAAATTTTCTATAATTAATATACATCTTTTGGTATATATAATTTTAAAAAATATAGTCTATTTTATTCTTTATAAATAAATTGTTAATTACCCAACAAGAAACGACCATCAATTATACGTTAAATCGATGTCAAATTTGTGTCGAAATCGTCGGATTGATATTGATTCTATATAAATTCGATGAGTCATTTTTTGTTGAATGTGTTTCCTTTTTAAAAACAAGGTTTTTTAAAATTATTTTGTCTATATGAATATTTTTACACTTACTGTACATCTAAACTTTCAAAAATATTACAATTTGTTATTAAAAAATTTTACTGTTAAAATCATTTATTTAATCTAATGTTATTGTTATATTGAACAAAAATGTTTACAATGTATGATAAATTTTTTATAATAATTTTAGATTGGAACAAAAAAATGTTTTCAGTTTCTTACAATTAGTAATAATTAAAGCTTTTAAACTTTACTACAGGAAATTATTATTAAATTATCAATTCTTAAAAAATTATAATAAAATGATTTTTTCTCAAAATCAAAATACAATTATCACACTATAGGTAACAAAATAAATAGCCTTCAATAAATATTTTTTAAAAATATATAATTTACAATAAATATCTGCTGTAACATATTCTCTCACTTTTCTTCCTTGCTTCATTTTTTAATCTTCAAAGCATAAATATATACATGCTCAAATATAAACATTTTTACATGGAAGAATGAATCAAAACACAGTTAAAAAGAACAAGTTCACAAACAGCGTTATTACTTTGATCACTGTCTTTATTGTTCCAAACAATAACAATCGTTATTGCCTCGAGCAATCTTCATAGAATGTTTGTGTCATATAAACGACAGCTTTCTGGGCGCAATGAATGCCGATCGACGGCATTCATTCGTATACATGTACAATAACAACCATCGCGTTTTTTTAAGGACATCGATTGACGGACGAGCGGCGACGGTGGAAGTTTCGGGATCGGCCAGAGAAGTCTCGTGACCGCGGCGCGACGCGACGAAACGGAGCGAGGTGACGCGAGGTAACGCGCCTCGTCAGGGCGTCGAGTGACGAACCAGGTGACGGGATGGGGTCGGGACCAGGTAGCCATCTCCAAAGTTCTACCAACCTTCAGAACCTGGCTCCTGCGGAAGCTAAGCTCGTCCTCGGCGGTCGCCGTGAAGTCGTGCTTCGCTATCGCCTCCATATTCTGTCCTCCGAGACGACGGAGTCGACGGGAAACGACGTGCCGCTGCTGCTGGAGGGAGCGAGAGGGCGCTCGCTATACGATGCTCCGCACCGTGGAGAGAAGAGGAACGGACTAACGGAGTGCCTACGTTCGCGAGGGAGTGCACTTGAGGAAGGAAGAGGTAGGGGGGCCGCGGAGGGAGAAGGAAACGGAGGTGGATAGAGAGAAAAACAAGAGAAAGATGAAAGGTGCTCGTATTGCTCGTTGTGCGGGCGCGTACCGCACGCGAGGCGATGCGTATTTGTTTTACAAGTACTATGGAGAAAAGGTGAAACTTGCCAGAGTGACTGCAGATACGAGATTTAGCGTAAGGACGATTATCGAAGGTCGCTCATTAAGCACCGAAAAGAGAGAGAAAAAGAGAGCGCTATGCGTGGTATATAGGAGAATTATTTAAGATTTGCGCTGAATTAAATGTTTAAGAGAGAGAAAAAGAGAGAGCGCTATGCGTGGTATATAGGAGAATTATTTAAGATTTGCGCTGAATTAAATGTTTAAGAAAAAAAAAATGAGGCAAAAGGGACACCGCGGTTGATATCGACGAAAGTGCTTGGCGACGCCGACGTCGCCGTCCTTTGTCCTAGCACTGATCGGGCGGTGTCCGTCCAAGGCTAAGGATATTGTGCTCGTCTGTGTGCGTAAAATCCCGGGACACGAAGGTGTAAGTGAGCACTGACGCGCGCGTACGCACGCACGCACGCACGCAGAGACACCTTGGCGGACAACCGTATGTCCCCCCGATGGATTCCTCGTTCAATATGCCACCGGATTTAAAGCCTCGGCATCATATTTACTTGATGTAGACCGCGAATTATGTACCAGCGACGAGTCGTACACCGCGAACTGTCAAAGGCGATCGCGCGTACTATCGCAACAGTCCCATCGCCAAGTGTTATCAGACGTTACACCTGTCCCGTTCGACACGACTCGGCTCAGCTTCGGCCGTCGCTCGGCCGGCCTCGGCTTTCGCTCAACTGCCGCTCGGCCGACCTCGGCCGCGCCCGGCCGCCTGCGCAGAACGCCTCCGCGCACCCGCGTGTGACGTCACGTGACGTCGCCTACCCTCCGGCGGAGGGTGGGACACGCAGGGTGCAGCGCACGATTACACGTGTCGCCTAATGATGGCGATTTTTCAGCAGTTTTTCAACGCTTACGTCAGTCATCTCGTATGACGTCAAACGCGGAATCCGAACGTCAGAGAGCGAAGAGGGAGGAAGTTATTAGGAAAGGCGCGCAGTTTCTAGAACTTGCGTCAAGGTACAGATGAGACGTGATCGTGGAACTCGTCGACGGAGCGGAGAAACTCTGCTGCTGTAAAAACGAGATAGAATGAAGCCGGATTTTTCTAGGATAGATTTCTCTCGGTTTTCAGTTAAAGCAGCAATCGCCGTCGCGTTTAAACTTTGCGTCCCGCACGTACAATGTGATAAAAAGTTCGTTTTTATTTCCGCACTATAATTAACTTTCCTTCGTACTTTCAGCAAACTTCAAACAAATATCGTATTTCACTTTAAATATACAGAAAGTGTTCAACTATATAAAAATAACAGACTTTTATTTTATGCAACAATGAAAATTAAATATATACAATGTGTTGTTTAGTAACCAACTTTTTAACCAACTTTTATAATTAGTTATAAACATCGAACGTTTATACTTAAAAAATTACTTTACCGAAAGAAAAACGGCTTACACTTTTATTAGTTAATTTTTCACGAAATTTCACGCAGAAATAATATATTATCATCGATATTCGGAACACACCTTATATATACATTTACTACAGATTTCCGAAATTACATCGTGAATTCGTAATTTCAACATTTTAAAAAAATTGTCCAAGTGCATTTTTTAAATGAAATTTATAACGTATGGTACATCTGCAATGTCTTTAAAATTTCAACCACGTTATATGTAAATTTCGAAAGTGTGATGTGTGATTTGGCGCCTGTATTTAGAACAGACTTCACTTGTTGTATTTCGTATTCCACCCCGGTTTTTTAAGCTTTATCCATAATCGAATATGTAATCGGATGCCGAGGGTAGCCGAAGTCACGCGAGATAAATGCGATATTATCCGAGTTCAAAGTCTCCTTGGAAGAGAGAGGATCAAGAGAAAAAGAGAGAAAAGAGCACAAGGATCTAATAATTATCTGACACGACACATCCTGTACAATTTCCAATAGAAAAACTAGCCAGTCGACTTTACAAGATTTGTTTCACAAATCGTATTTAAAAGCGAGAATAGTTTTCTTAAATTAATATAGAGGGTGTCCAGAAATTCGAGTGTATTACAGCAGCGTAAAAATTCGTGAAAAATTAAGTACTAAAAATACAAGCCATTTTTTCCCGTAAAGTAATTTTTTAAATATAAATGTTTAAAATTTTTTTATAATGTTTCACACCGCAGTAAAATTACTCTCGAATTTCTGAACACCCTATATATAATTAGGCTATATATATATATAATAATGAAAAAAACTTTTTTTCTATGCAGAGACTATTCGAATGAATTAAACATGGTCTTTATTTAGGTTGTTCACACAAAATTTTACGCAGGAAAACGTAATGCTTTATTACTAATGAGTAAACAATAATTAACGATAATTTTACAACTTCTTTCACTAAAAAAAAAATCAGGCACATATTCAAATAGTCTTATACAAAAAAATCATCGCAACATTAAAATGGCACTAAAATATAGTTTCAAAATGATTATCAAAAATAATTTTTCGATCAGTGTCACAATTGATTTCAATATCAATTTGACGTTTTCGTGACCTGCAGTTGTAGGCAATCGGGTTAGAAAGTGGCGCCATCTTATCCGTCGCGCTCGCCACGACAGTCGGTAAGAAAGGGAACGATTCGCGTGACGTGACAATGAACAAGTCCGCAATTCTAATGTAGTACGAAACAGGCGACGTAGTACGAAAATAAACAGAACACCTCGTGTTTACGGAAGTCCGTAACAGGTGTTTTTCACCCCCTCCGCCTCTGCCGGCCGCCGAAGCCACAGCCTCCTCCGCTCTACGTTGAAGTGATGGGGGAAGGGGACAGAAATGCAAGCGAAGCCTGTCCACATTCGCTTACGTAGGCACTCGTCTCGCGTTCCTCGGCGCAAACCCGTCGGCTGTTTCGGTCACGGATGTTTGAGTCCTTGGGAACCGAGTTATACGTTCGAATGCCAAGAAAGCCTCGACATTCCCTCTGTTAATCTAAATTCTTTCGGCACTTTTGCGAATCCTCCGCTCTTGTCGTCGCTTGTACAAAATGGCAGACTTGAAAACGATTTGTGATTATGACCTTCGATTTTTTAAACAATAGAAAATTACCTTGACTCGTGAGGCATTTGAAATAGATCGTATGTAGAAATTCCCTAGGTCAAAGAATCACGAGAAACATAATTTCCCCTTGTTTTGTGATTTAAATTCCTCGAGGAATTTATTATCCTTGATGATATGTAGATTGGTCTTTATATCGCAATGTCAAGTATTCCTAAACTTTCCTAAGACTGCCCATTTTACTCTCGAGAACGATTTACGGTAATGAAAACGAGATGGCTGAGAATCGTTTTCTTTAATCCTATGTGTATAAAAAAAATTGCAGCCAAAAGGATTCCCACCTGCAAAAATTAAAATTTTTTTGCAATCTCCACTCGCGCGTTTTAAGAATGTCTACATTTAAATATTTATAATACGAAACGCATGACGGGGCGAAATGATCAGTTGTGGCGAAACAAATCTGTTTTCAATCGCGAGAGGTCGAATAGAGAAAACAGAGCTCCTTCGTAAATAGAACGCATTTGCCAGGTGCGAGTGTTCTTTATAAGTTATTTCGCGAAATAAAAGGTCCACGAAACGCAGGAGAAACGTCGTTCTCCATGAGTCTTTCCTAAGCACCTGCACAGGTAGAAGCCAGGTGCAGCTGCTATATAACCTCGCGTCACGTTGCAAAAACTTAACGAACACTCGCCAGGATACGTACAAGAAGTATAAATTTTCACGCTCTAAACGCGTAACTTTAAGATTTTTCATTTTCTGCTTAATTGTGGTTGAGCTAGATAATATATATATATATATATATATATATAAGGTAAATAATTGTATATTTTTTAACAATCACTAAACAGATGATTTTATGTCCAGATAACATATGCATGCCTACGTCATAAAAGCATCGAAGGACGTCTTTTTGGACGTGTTTAAGTAGACTTTCTACGCGCGATAAGCCATTATCTAAACCATTATTTAAGTCTTACGAAATTGACCAATTGATTATTCTTTTCAAATTCGACTATGACTGGTCAATTTCTTACGGTTTAAGCCTTAAGCTTACGTAACGGCTTGAAATATGTGTTAAAGATATTTAAAAGATATCACGAAGAGGTCTTCTAAACCTGAACAAACGCGTGTTATTTTGGTAGTGAATGACTTTTAAAGTAATCACACATTTAAAGTAATTACAGCTTTACTTAGTAATTAATCATAACTGAAATAATACCATTTTTCTATACAATAAATATGGTGTTTTCTGGCTATGTTAATCACTAAACTTGTGGTTACATACTTTTAAAGTTACTTTTAGTGATTAATCATAGTTAGGAAAATAATTTTTATACTAATCATCAAAATTAAGTAAGTTTAATTGTAAGCCTAAATCATATAAATTAACCAGAAAATGGAAAACCGGACCTAAAAAAGACAAACGTCCTAAATATCTAATTTAGGTATAGAAATTAAGGGCAATAGTTAATATACCTCTTAATTTATTCTCTTTAAATTAGATATATCGAACGTATTCAAACGACGCTCTCATGCAAAAAGGATGAACTTTCGAATGACGTTCGAAAGACCGTCAGGTCATCTCTGTTTGCTTTATTTAGAGTTCGGGAACATCCTCCTGGCGCGCTTATCAGCCATCCCGGATCTCGAAATCCGCTGCAAGCGCAGCGGTTGATGCGATCATAAAATTCGTGGAGTCGGTTATATTCTAGGAGGCGCGTGTCCGTGTCGGGTGAACGGCGAGCCGTGAATAATTCAGCGACAACGACGACGATTCGTCGAATCGTCGTCGACGATTCCGAGGGAGCATGTGCCCGGAGTCAAAGGACAAAGATTGCGCCGCCACGTAGCGCGTCGCGTGGCTTGCGATCGGCCCAGGGAACGGCCGTACAGTTCGCGCTAATGAACCAGCAAGCCTTTTGTGCTGCTTTTATTCTCTTACGTCATCACACCCGTCAGCGGCGACGGCGACGGCGCGACCTGGCCGCGTTCTTGGAACGCGGCGCGTGTTAGGACGACGGTCCGTCAGGGTCCGACCTCTCGCGGTCTGTTCTGGAAACGCACCAGCTAATGTGTTTTTCCTCTGATGCCAGGCGTTTACAGGCGTTCCTGGTTGAGGCGAGCTGCACGGACGTGAGCTGAA